ACGCTGCTACCCCCCCCCCCCGCTACTAGCCTTACTCCGGGGCTGCTAATGCCCCGCGGGCTGGCTGCCCTACTGCCTAGCACTCCGGCTACAAAGCACCCGCTATCCAAGCGATTGCTGTACTTCACCCCCAACCCCGCTGCTAGCTGCTACTCCATACTGCTGGCTAGCTAACTACGCTAATTGCTCGCTTGGCTACTCCCCGCTGGCTTCCACTGCTTGCCGCTAGCTGCTGCTGCTATCCGGCTAACGCTGCTGCACTAGCTGCACTGCTGCTACTTACGCATACTGCTAACTCGGCTGGCTATGTCTGCTGCTCTGCTGGTACTGCTGCTGCTGCTGCATGCTACCAGCTACTGTGCTGCTAACTGCTGCTGGCTGACGGCTGTCTCGCTACTGCTACTGCACTACTGCTGCTGCTATTGTAGCTGCACTGCTACTGGCTACTGCTGCATGCCTACTAGTGCTACGTTGGCTGGCTGCGCTAGGCTACTGCGTACTGCTGCTGCTAACGTGCTGCTACTCGCTGGGCTGCACTGCTGCTGACTGCTGCTCGCTGCTGCTGCTACTAGCTACTGCTCTGCTCTGCTGCTAGCTACTGCTGCTGGCTTACTAGCTACTGCTACTGTACTGGCTGCGCTACTGGGCACTCGCTAAGCTGCTTGCTAGCTCGTGCTTGCTACTGGCTGCTGTCTACTGCTACTGCTACTGCTCGCTCGCTACCTGCTGCTGCTGCTTGAACTTCGCTACCTGGCTACTAGTGGCGCTACTGTTTTGCCTACTCCTGCTCGACTGCCTCGCCTCCGCTCGCGCTAGCTGCTGACTGCTGCGCTGCTACTCCGCCTCCACTCCGCTCGGGTAGCTACTGCGGCTACTCACCCGCTCGCTCGCTGGCTGCTACCTCGCACTCCCCCACTCTCTCACGCTCCACGCTAGTATTACACAGAAGCAATCGGAAATTGATTGCCGCGAAACCTCGCCCCCCGCTACCTCCACTCCGCCTATCTTAATTTGTTGCACGCAGTGCCCAGGCAGCTGATGCATTAGTCGAAGAGTGGTACCTTGTAAGTGCAGTGACTAGCCCTGAAGACTTCAATGCCTTAAAAAATAACCGGGCTTAAATACACAGCCGGGCTTTAAATACCTGGGCTTTGGTATTTCCCTGAACGTAAGTCATGCACCACCAACTTCTTTTAACCGCCCCTCTCGTCTCTCAGCATACTGCATTGGCAATTCTGTTTCCTCGACGACACTCATCTCTCGTGTAGACCCGCTTCGTACCGCTTTCGCTCCTCTTTCCCTCGTCTAGCACTGCCTAGATTTCCTCCAAACATCTGCACGAAGGTGACTTAACATACTTTTCTAACTGGCCCAACTGTGTCGAATTTTATTCACCTGGTGTTAATACTGTTATAGATATCACCTTTTGCGGGTTTGCTAAACGCATTTCTCTGCTTTTTTTATGTGTCGTATTTTAGACTTTCTTGTTCTTCCCGCCTGTCGTTCTGTTATCACATTGCCGATTGTGCTACCTGCTGCTTCTCGGGATGTGTCGTATCTTTGTGATTGTCCTCTCACCCTGACCTATACTAAGTATCGCTACCATTACACCGCCCCAGACGTGGTATCTCGAGAGTAATGCCTGTACGCTTATGTCTTTCAGGCTTTTTTGTCCATCTGTCGTTTAGATTCTGCAGGTGGAACAGCTGAAAGACGCGCCGATGGAAGCAGGCATTCGCTGCTGGTGATGAGGCTCGACTGACCCTCCCCACACAACACCGCCTCCTGTTCCTGACCAGTGCCACCTACGGCCTGGTTCCCTGACCACAAAACCTTCTACCGTTGACACTCCAAGCATGTACCTGTCGGCCGACCCCACTTCCTGTCCTGTACGCTGACTTCCTGTCCCCATGAGCTTTTTCCTCAACCCGTCACTCCACATTACCTGTCCGCACTGACCAACTGACCTTTCTAGCCATCACTCCACTTACCTGACCCCTCACCCACCTCTCTCAAAACTTCTCACTTCACGATTCTGACCCCTCATTCACCTCTGCTCTTTCTCAATACTTCTTCGTTTCGGTCACACTTTCATCTTTTCAATCTTTACTGATTTTCCCCCCTCCTACTACCTCCCATGCGCTCACTCTAGGTAGGCTGGCATGTCACCATTCACTTTACTCCGTGCTGCCTCTCTTTTCAACTCTTACTAATTATCCGCCCTCCTACTTCTAGCTTTTCTGCTCAGCTCTATTTGCACCTTCAGATTGACTCTTCTGTCGAACCTACCTTTCTCAACTTTACTATTTCGCCCTCCTACGTAATCCCATGCTCACTCTAGTAGCTGCAGCCAATCATTTACTCTGGCTGGCCTCGTCTTTATCAAATCTATATTTCCCCTCCTATAAAATACCTTTCTGCTCAGCTACTACCTTCACCCTTGCAGTTCTCCTCCGTCGACCTAAACCCCCCACCGTACACATCACCTGCTCACTCTAACACACCTTCCTTCACTCCTGGCCAGGCTCTTCCTTCCAATCCGTACTGATTTCCACTTCTCACCACACTCAGCTTGCGCACTCTATACTGCCCCGTTCATGTTCCCCTGTCGAACCTACCTTTCCAACTCGTACTATTTCCCCCTCCTACCTACCTCCCCTGCTCACTCTACCTGCACCATTCCTTCACTCCCTGGCTTGCCTCTCCTTTGTTAGCGCACGCCTGCACTGGCGAGCTGGCAGGTACCGTGAGAATGCTCGTTTAATCGGTTGACTAATCGCTCGTTATCGCGGCTGCGGTTGAATAGCGTGGAAGCTGAGAGCGCGCGTGTGTGCCGCGGCGGCGGCGGCGGCTAATAATCTAGTTTACTAGTCGGCAGGAGATTGATTGATTGATCGATCGCGCGCGCGTCTGTTCGTCTGTCGCCGGCTTCCCCATGTCGCCACGGTAACGGCCAATCGAACTGCGTCGCTCGCGAGACGCGGTAACGATTCACGTTCGATTACGATGCGTGAGGGTGTGGCATAGATGCGCGAGACACATGTGTTTGTGTGTTTGGTTTTCGTTTGGATGGAATGCCCAGATATCGAGTAAAGCTGCAAGACAAGACCGTACGTTTCTTACGTCTGGGAAGTATGAAAGTGTAATGAAAATTACAAATAAAAATGAACAGTAACATTATTTATAAATTTAAAACGAATGCTTCGAGTTCAACTTGGCAAATAACGGCCAGTATTAACTAAACTTGCCCAGAATCTGGTTTCACCCACCCTTTCTGTATTCAGGGTCACTCTTGGAAATAAGTCTGAAAACCCAACCTGTCCCAATTTCGATAATCTTGATTTATACCATATAACCCATAATAAAATCCTTAAAAACCAGCCAGTTCTGCTTAGAAGCTACCGGTCCCAGACTGTGGGGATGGGCTTCTATTTGCAGTACTCTTCCGGGTGTGGGTGGGCTCGGTGCTATGAAACCCTGATGAATCAGTCTCTGGTGATAATGTTTAAATTCACTACGTCACGAATTTTCTATGGTAAAATTTGTAAAATTTTTGTTGGCATTTTTTTACATTAAAAGTAAGAA